GACTGCATCAATAGCCTTAATTAGATAGTGAAACAAACCCTCTAAAATCTACAGATATCTCGAGTAATTCCTACGAGTACACTACAAACTCTGTAAAAATGAAAATTTACAACATGGGTCAATGCTAAATAGAAATATGATATATTTAGGTAGGGTAAATCAACTTGAAAATTTTTTCATCTCATAATTATAACATATAGAATACACTGTTTCACTGAAGTAATTAATCAAACACCTTGAAGATGTTTAAAAAAAAAATGATTTCTATTTCAGTGGAAAAAGAGATTTCAAGGGCATTGTGCCAATAGATAAGATAGGCAGTAAAAAAATTTTGCAACAGAATGTTCAGAAATTGAAAGGCAGTGAGCTTATCGACAGAAAGAAGAAATGAAGATGCAAGCAAAATAAGACAAGCCTGATTAACTATTGAGGAGGAAGGAAAAGTGTGGGTTTAGGGTTTTAGGATTTGTAGCAACAAACTCCTCAGATGGACAATGAAGGCCAGTGGTTGAAGGCATGGTGAAGGAGGTGATGCATTGGTCGTTGGATACCGATTTGTTGCTTGATTTGGAGAAGCGATAGAGAAGCGATGAAGGCCGATCTGCTATCGATCTATTGCCCTGTGGTTTCTTCTTCACTAGAAAAGTTATTGAGATTGAAGAATGGAGATGGATTGGAGAGTGGATGATCGATGAACTGATGAAGATTGGAGAGGGGAGAATAGGGTTTTGTCTTTAGATTTTGTTTTTGAAGTGGAAAAAGTGGTTGAGTCATTGACCGTGGAAAAAATAAAAAAGGAAGTTGCAACGTGAGCATCCAGCGTGGAGCAATTCACCTGGTATGTTTATCGGGTCTACTGGGCAAGATAGGTTAGATGGTTTTTTCGGGTCTGGACGCTTCGCTCATCCAAACAGGCCTAGGTGTCCACCTAGCTCATTTTAGCAACCGGGTGGTGGTTGAACCAATTAAACCAACTAGTCTAGTTTGGTTTTGAAAACACTGAACTACACAATAATAAGAATAATTATAAGTATGAAATTTTAAGTAATAGTAATTGTGTTTTTATAGATCTTTGTAATCTTTTTTATAATAGTGTCTAAGGAAAAGTATGAAAAGTAAAACAAATAGGAGATAATATCTATTTTGGATGGAGCTTAGTAATTGAAACCTTGGTCATTGAAGCCAAGGCAAGTCCATTGAATGACATGGAGTAAACTAATACCGAAAGAAAAGACATGAATCAAATTATACACTTGAATTGGCAATTGGAAGTGGTTTTGTTTAAAAAAAGGAAACTAGTATCAAGTTATAGAAGAAAGAACTGATATCAAATACCAATACATCTAGTAAGCTAATTTGAACAATATTATTCAAAACTGGGTTGACAATAATTCGAATTTAATAATGCATTTCTCAAAAGGACAATAAGTGCTATAACTTTAATTTAACATGCTCTTTTATACATTCATTAAGAAATTATTATTTTCAAATTTGAATTAAAGCAAAAAAGCTTTTAATTATAGATTTGAAGAATTGAATTAATAGGTGTTGATAATTGTGTTGAACTGAAAAATATACCAAATTCTCTTCTCAAAAACTATTGAGGATATAGTTCTACAATTGAAATATCAGTTTCTGCTAAGGGGACCGATTCGTCCTTTAATTTCTTGAAGGCTGATACCCATGAATTGTAGCCACATGAGGTTGAAATATGTCTGATTCATTAGTGCTGTGCTTAAAAAATGCATGCAGGTTGAGAAGGCACTCGAAGAGAAGTTGAATTGCTATTAAGTAGGAGAAGAGTTGAAGCCATATATGGTTGGTCTGTTAGCAACATTTTCTTGACCACATTCACATAGTAGCCCAATATGGATGCATCTCATTATTTTATGTCCCTTCCTTCCAACTTTTCCATGCCTGCAAAGGGTTAATAAATGCAAATGTGCATAAAACATAGTATGAAAGTCTTTTTCTTTCAATTTTACTTCTATTAATAATTACTTCATTTTTAAAAAATAACACATTTTAACTTCCAAACTACCCTTATCAATAAGAGTAAATATGAAATTTTTAATTATTAATAGGTGTATTTTTATAAAAAGGAAAAAGAAAAACCAAGACATCCTATTTTTCAAAATATTTGTACATCCAATCATAACTATTAATTAAATGTGTGGCCATAGCATGGATTCTATCTTTATCAGGTACATCACATGACTATTATTAAATGTTTTAATATTTTTAATATAAGATATCATGTTTTTTTTTTTTTCATTTTTATAAATCTTTGTAATTTTCTATATAATACTACCAAGAAAAAATATAACAAGTAAAATGGACTAAAACAGTAGATACAGTGTCTTTGCTGTAGCTCGGTAATTGAAACATCGTTTATTGAAGCGGCAAGTCCATAGAAAATAAGGGTATTTTTTTTGTGTGAGCCTTCTAATTATTTTCAGCAATCAAATATAAATGTGCCAAGACCGAATAAAATGACATGAATCAAATTATACAATCAAATTATACCCTTGAATCATGGGTTTGTACAGTTTAAGGGACGTGATAATGAAGAGTAATTATTTGTAATTAATATGATTTTTTTTTTTGGAAAATGTGAAATTTTGAATAAAAAATATAAGTTCTGTTTTTTATTCAAAAAGGATCAATAATAAAAAAAAAAAACTAGAATGCAACATTTGCAATTAAAACAAAGATAACTTTCTTCTTTTTCAAGATAAAAAGTAATGATTATTACTTAATATTCACTTTTTATTTCGTGCCATAAGGGCACATAATATATAAACTGATAAATAATTATTACTTAATAATTCTTCTTTTAGGGCACATGATAAATAAACTGGTCATTAGATGAAAATTGTTTTGCTTATGAAAAGAAGTTAGTATCAAATTATACAAGAAAGAACCAATATTAGATACTAGTACATCTAATAAGCGAATTCTAGCATTACTCAAAAGTAGATTGATAATAAAAAATTAGTTGTACCTTTGAATCTCAAAAACTCTTGAGGATATAGCTCTGTGATTGAAACATCATTTTTTGCCAAGGGAACTGATTCATCCTTGATTTCCCTGAGTTTGATACTCATGAATTGTAGCCACGTGAGGACAACATGTCTGGTTCAATGGGGTTGTGCTTAAAAAATGCAAGTTGAGAGGGCATTGGTAGAGAAGTTGAATTGCTATTAAGTAGGAGAACAATCGAAGCCATGAAACTACTGGAAACACCTCTTGTTCAGACACATAAGGAACATCTGTCTAAAAATAGTTATTCAAATCACTATTGATCCGGATATTTGGTCCGGAAAGATTGAATCTGAATAATTCTAATTTCAGATTGGTCAAAAATTGGTCTGAATAAAATTTATTTTCAGACCAAAATTGGTCTGTATAATGGCAGAAATTTTGATCCTAGTGTACCTAAAACCAGACTGTAAGTGGTCTGAACAACTACAATTTTCGAACAAATTATGGTCTGAATATACAGAAAAATTTCAGACCAACAATGGTCTAAAAATTATTGGACTTATGTAGAACAATGAAAAGTTCTGGTATATATGTGTCACTTTGTTGAAACAAATTTCAGACCACCATTGGTCAGAAAATTAGTGGCCTTATTTAGAGGAATGAAAAATTTTGGTATATATCTATTGCTATGCATAAACTATTTTCAGACCGCATTTTGGTCTGAAAATTGGTGGGCTTTGTTTAAAGAAATGAAAAACTTCGGTCTCTATGTGTCATTATGCTGAAACTATTTTCAGATCATTGTTGGTCTGAAAAGCACAGAACTCATTTTACAAACCGTTTCTATCAAAAAATATCTAGACCACTTGTGGTTTGAAATATGGCAGCATGACACGAGAAAAAGATATTTACTTAATATGTTACATTTCTAAAAAATTATTTTTTCTCCATGAACGTCGTAAATACTAAAAATAATATATTACATAGTAAATAATATTTACATGTATAAGATTTCTTAAAATAAAAATAAAATATCCAACATATAGTAAATTAAAATTAAAACACCAACATAATCATTGAAATTATAATCAAAAAATAAAACAGAAAACTAAATATAATTTAAAAGCAAATTAATAAAAATCTATAATATATACTGGAAATAACATAAAAAAATAATACCCAAACCTATTTTTATTCCTTGTAAATTTAATCATTTTCTACAAATATAAATGAAATGGAATTAGTAAGATAAAATCAAAATAGAAAAGGCATTAATGGAAAACAAATATATATATATATATATATAGAAGTAAAATTTAAGATTCACTCAATGTATCATAATAACCTACAAAAAAAAAAATAGTGAAACAAGAGAAAATAAAATTAAATCCAATAAATATCATAAATTAGGAAAAAGAAAAAGAAAATATAAATTTAACAACATGGATACAAAAAATATAGTTAAGAAATACAAAGAAAAATGGAAGAAATAAGCTTATATCCATGTTAACTTTTGAAAGTTTTACTGAAAAATGAAAGGGAACAATACAAGAAGCAAGAGGAGGAGCTGAAAAAGGTGATAACAAAAAGGGAACAAAGGGATAGAAAGAGAGGGGCAACACAAGGATGAGGGAAAGAAGAGAAAATAGGAGCATGAGAGAAAGAAGAGAGGGGAACTAGAGGGGAACTAGAGGGGAACTAGAGAGGAAACTAGGAAGGGAGAAGGAAAGCTCAAAAAAAGCAGAAAACAAAATTTTGTGGAAGAGGCAGCAGACAAGGTAATATTGTAATACCCCAAAATTTTGAGTTCTCATGTGGAATAATTAATTATTTAATTTAGGTGTAAGATGACTAATATGAAAGGGGATCTTATTAGGGGACCAAGTTGTCTCTTTCTTTAATCCTTGGGATGTTGGCCAAAAAAAAAAAAAGCGGGAGAAGATGGAGGGACAAATGAAAAGGAATAGAAAACCTAATTCCCTTTTTCCTATTTCTCTCATATTTTCGGGCTTTCCTCTTCTTCTTTTCTGGTTTTTCCTCTCCTCTTCCATTATAAGTCCAAATCCTTGAAGCCATCAACCTCATAGCCACTCTATGATGTTTATTCTTCTTCTTCTAATCAAAATTTTGCCGCTGGCTGTTCCTCCTTTCCTTGTCCATGATTTGACTATTCAGTGGGTGCCTCTTTGCTGTTTTGGGTAAGGTTTCTTTCATGTTTGCTAATAGGTTTTGTCAAGAATTCATTTTATTTTCATTCTTCCACCGAATCCGTGACTAGGCAGCCACCTATATCAAATTTCCAGCCCTAATTCTACCCGAATTTGTGCAGAAAATTATGGTTTTTGTGTCGCACGAATTCTTAGCTTTGATCTTGTGTCTGAAGTGGACATTTTAGACTGATAGAAATTCAGGTAAGAGCCATGCGTCTGAACTTTGAAACCTTGCTGTTTTATGCGTGATATTTAAGATGTGTTTGGAACTTTGAAACCTTGCTATTAAATTTAGCTACAAAAATCTGGTCACAAGTTGTCCGTACCGTTGCTCTGTTTATACTGGGTTGAGTCTTGATTTTTCTGGCTGTTTTTGCACCAGAAAGTATGTGTTTCTGTTGTTTAAATCTGCACTTCACATGCCCATTAAATCTAGTTTGTTTGGGGTGAGTTTGGTGGCTGTGTTTGTCTAGTGTTGTGCTGCTGTTTTGCTTAGATTCTGCTGCTGTTTTTGTCTTGAACTTTCTGCTGTTCTGTCCAGAATTTATACCTGTTGTGGTGCAGAATTTATCTGCATTTTCCTGCACTTATCCTTGCTATTGTCTGCTCTATTCTGCTCAGACTTTACCTGCATTTTTCTGCATTTTCCTGCACTTTTCCTTGTTATTTTTCTGCACTGTTTTAGCCCAGAAAATTCTGCATTTTCTTGCACTTTCCCTTGTTGTTTCTGCACTGTTTTAAACCAGAAAATTCTGCATTTACCTGCACTTTCTCTTGCTGTTTTTCTGCACTGTTTTAAACCAGAAAACTCTGCATTTTCCTGCACTTTCCCCTGCTGTTTTCTGCACTGTTTTCCCCAGAATTTTCTGCCATCTGCCAAAATTTTGCTGCTCCTTGCCAAATATTTTTGGAATGTCTGCTGTCATATTATGACTATGCATGTGAATTAATAGACATATACTAGTAAGATTTTGGTGGGTAGAAGTGGGTAGAACTAGCAAGAGGAGATATGGAGAAATTGTTCCCTTAAGTTAGAACTTGGTGCTAGAATTAAAGACTAATTTAGTTGAATGAGGCATGTCGTGATCTTGTTGTTCTTGATATGGAATAGGTTTTAAGACACCTTCGCCTCCTTTAGACTTGAATTCTAGCTTACGGTATAGCAACAAGGGGAGGTAAGTAAATTTGTGGGAACGTCCTTGGATTTTAAGGTAAAAGCTTTAAAAGCATATTTTAAACTGTTTTTAAGATAGTGACAAGATTTAAACTGATTTTTTTAGCATATGAGCATGATTGATTTAAAATAAAGTTGTTAATATGTTTATTGAGTTGAGCATGCTTACTGGGATTTTATTTCATTGTCTTAAAGATATGAAAATTGTTTGTAAATTATGGATTTTCTTGTAACTCCTGCTTGGTTTTGTCTCCAATATGGTCATGTATTACTTGTGCCCGCTAGTGTGAGGTTTATAAATGCTAGCACATGTCGACATGTTACTTATGGAACTGGTTCATTCTTGATATACCTGTTATCCTGCGAGTGGGATTATATATTAGTAAATCTTGTGCCTATCAGTGGCAGGTTTATAAACGCTAGTCATGACCTATAGAGGAGACGTCTATTTCATTCTCATACTTGTACCCGTTTTCTTCATACTTGATTACACTTGTTAGCATGTTATAAAATTTTTTATTAAGGGCTATCCATATTTTTACTTACTAAGTTATCTCACAGAATTCTTCCTTGTCCACCATTTTAGGTGCTAAAATCAAAGATACAGGAAAACCGAGGGGAGTGATGAGTTAGAAGGTTAGCCATTTTTATTTGAATTTAGATTATTTTATAATTAGGTTTGAAAGCTAAATTTTATTTTGATATTTTTGCAACATTGTTCCATGGATTGTTAGTTATGAATTTAGCAAGTTCCAAGCCTTGTGCATTTGTTGGATTCTCTCATAAGTGTATAACGTCTGTTTTGCTTTCAGTTTTGAGGTGTGACAAATATATATATGCAAACTTATGCAAACTTATTTTGGACCATTATCGGTCTAAAATATATTCAATCAACCAGTACCACGCAGAATAAAACTTTCAAAAGTTATTGAAATTTTTGGCAGTTTTTATTTCAAACTGCCATTGGTCTAAATAATGTCAAAAGTTTTAAATATCAACATTCAAACATTTTCGCATAAAAGGGTGCTAAATTAAATGAAACATCTCAAATGAAAAAGACCAAGATAAAAAAAAAAAAAAAGATATAAAATATACTTAAAAAAGGGTAAAGGTTATATTTGGACCACTGTTGGGCTAAATAAATTTTTCCAGAACAATAGTGGTTGAATATGGTGCCAGTAAACTTTTTTTTTTTTGTTGACACCTCAAATTGTGCCTAATTCGTTGTTCTATCCCTTAAACAACAGGATCTAGAGGGCTTCAAAACCATAGAATCCTTACTTAAAAACTAAAAATAACAATCCAATAGGTTTGTGGTTTTGCAACTACATGTCATAACTATAAAGCTCATAATCTTAACTCCACCCAGTTGAGGTTTTGCAATGATATTGCCTTACTTCACGGTGCACCAATTTTAGGTGACTAATTGATGGTACCAAGGTTATGGGTGACTGTTGACGACCACTTAAGATTTTTTTTCAAAATAAATGAAAAATTAAGTGTGAAAAATATAAAAATAAGGGAGTCGTCACTCGTCCAAATTATAGAGTAAAACAAGTCACCAAAAATAAGTCTGCGCAGAGATCGAGGTTCGAAGGTTCGGTTAGGAATGAAGAAAGGCATACGCGCACCTCACAATCCTACGTTTAAACACGGTTGTATACTTTAACATTGGGGGTTTTGATTCAATTGATTCATCATGTTTATGTTTGAGTCTTAATAGGAAAACTTAAAAAAAGGAATAAACCAAATTGAAACATTTTTAAATTTTTTGGACTAAAATGGACTAAATCAAAGACATGCTTGCACAATAACAAAAATACAAGGTTAAGGGACTAACTTGATTAAATCCGAAAGATGGAGGACTGATTTGATTAAATTCAGAAAAAAAAAACATGGAAGATTGATTTGAAAAGATTTGAAACATTTGGACTAAGGTGCTTGAACATGAGAGTTTTGTGCGAAATTGAAATAAAAAAAGAGATAACTTTTCTTTTTTTTTTTTTAACAAGATTAAGGCAAA